ACAATTAGTAAGAAGGTGCTGAGGACAGTGAAAAGGGTATGGGTCTGGAGTGGAAGTGGCATTCCACCTACCAGAGGTATTCAGGATTTGCTGATAGTCTATTCTATCCATAGTGGAAAGCTTTTAAAGTCTTCTTTTCTTATACTTTGCACAAAGGAAATAATCTCAACCTTTCTCAAAATAAATAAATAAATAAATAAATAAAATTTTAAAAGCCAAGAATCCTGAATAGAAATGAGACGGGAACACTTTAAAGGTGTTAGCTGCAATGTCAACTCTAAGGAATGCTGTGCAGCATCACATCCTTATTCCTCAGGTGAATGTGCCTCAGGGTCACTCCGCCTATCTGACCACAATTTGGTTTTGAGAGGACAAAGCTGGTCATGCTGCCTTGCCTTGACAAGTCAAGTTAGATCATTATATTTGTTTATTTGTTTTTGAGACAGAGTTTTTGCTCTTGTTGCCCAGGCTGGAGTGTAATGGTGCACTATGAGCTCACCACTACCTCCACCTCCTGGGTTCAAGCAATTCTCCTGCCTCAGCCTCCTGAGTAGCTGGGATTACAGGCATGCACCACCACACCTGGCTAATTTTGTATTTTTAGCAGAGACAGGGTTTCTCCATGTTGGTCATTCTTTGTAGTTATTTGCATTTAACTGATTGATTTCTGCATTTATAAGTTCTCCTTCTATTTAGAATTTCCCTAGATATGGCCTTTATTTCAAATAACTTGCTTCTGCAAGCTCGTGTCAATGTCATTTCCCAAACCAGTCAGGAGTTACGGAAGGCAACATTGAGAGGCTTTTGACGCTCCTTGTTTCCAGGCCCTCTCAGGTCAAGCAGGTTATCAAATAAATATTGTGAATGGTATTGTTTCTATTAAAAGATAGATGCTAACTTATTTTTAACAATTTCACATTAAAGTCAAGACTCTCATATACACATGCATACACAATAGTTCAAGTTTGTTAACACAGAAAAATCTGGAGATTCCCTAATTTAATGCTAAACAGTACATTACAGAATCCACTCAAAAAGTATACTGGGTTAAATAGTGTTCCTCCAAAATTCGTGGCCACCTAGAACCTCAGAACATGACCTTGTTTGGAAACAGGATTTTTGCAGACGTAATTAGTAAAGATGAGGCCATACTGGAGTAGCATGGGCCTAGACCAATGACGACAGTGTCTTTACAAAAAGATAAGAAACACAGAGACACAGACACACAAAAGGAAGACAGCCATGTGACAATGGAGCAGAGGCTGGAGTGATGCAGCTGCAAGCCAAGGAAACCCAAGGATGATCAGCACCCAGCAGAAGTGGGGAGGGTGAGGAAGGACTGTTTCCCAGGCCTTCCGAGACAGTGAGGCCCCGATGACACCTGGATCGTGGATCACTGGCCTCCAGGAGCTGCAAAAGGATATATTTCGGTTGTTCAATGCAATCAAGTCTGTGGCAATTTGTTACGGCAGCCACAGGAAGATAATATAAATACTAAATAAAAATATTTGCATTAATTCATAAAGACAGTTGAATGTCTGCCTTATTCAAATACAAATTTTGTTTGCTGCAAACCTCAAATAGCCAAGCCTGCAGTGTAAATGGTAGAAATTCAGTGATGTATACCCCTATCTATATTAAATGTACAAAAGACAGAAAAATAATACCTTCAGGCATAGAAATAAAATAAAGCCATAAGGACGTGGGTGTTCAATTGAAGAGGGAAAAAGGAAAGGAGGATGCACACACTCGCAGGCAGCCTCTGTGATGCAGAGAAGCAGTCTCCTCCCGTGGCTCTGCTTTGTGTCTCACCTAAGCATTTCCCCTGAGCCCACAAAAGGAACAAGCACTCGGTGGTCTTTCTCTCTGCCCTAATTCAGCTGTGCTGTAAATTCTTGTTCTCTGAGGAAGCTCCAAGGAGCATGACCGAGATTTTCTTTCCTTTTCCCTTCTGTGGTGTGCACCTGCGCATTTTGGATGCCTGCACCCCAGAACGAACTAGCCACAATGAACATGTCCAGCATCATACCCTACCCATCTCCCCCGCCAGGACTGTCCAGTCCAGCTCCTGTGTGCACCCGCGGGTCTCCTTTCCCCTCAGAACAGCCTTCCAGGCTTCATGGACACAGACCTTGACCTCATATGCACAGAAAAGGCTCTGGGAGCACAGAAGTAACTATAAGTGGCTTCAGAATGGTCTTTTTCTGCAGTAGAAAGAAACCTGCTGTGCCACAAGTTCTATTCCTGGTGCCACACTCTTCTGCTTCTTTAAGAAGTAAGGAAATAGGACCTGTCCCATCTCTTTATAGCTACATAGTAGAAAGGAATTATTTTGGCAACTTACTTTCTTTATCATATGAATGAGCACTAGCCACCATTTATTTAGGACCTACTATGAGCAGGGTATTAAATATTAACATTTAATATTTTATATCTGTTACATTATTTGTGATTGTTCAATATATTTTATAACTAAAATTCTTTCAGATACAACCCGTTGAAATTATAATAATTAAGGTATCACTTATGTTCCTTCCTTCCAAAGGAGGCCATGGTAGCACAGCACAAACAAGAAGTAAGGTAGTGCAGGGGCCGGGTGCAGTGACTCATGCCTGTAATCCAGCACTTTGGGAGGTTAAGGCAGGCAGATTGCCTGAGGTCAGGAGTTGGAGACCAGCCTGGCCAACATGGTGAAACCCTGTCTCGACTAAAAACACAAAAGTTAGCCAGGCATGGTGGTACACACCTGTAATCCCAGCTACTTGGGAGCATGAGGCAGGAGAATTGCTTCAACCCAGGAGGTGAAGGTTGCAGTGAGCCGAGATCGAGTCACTGCACTCCAGCCTGTGTGACATAGCAAGACTCCATCTCAAAAAAAAAAAAAAAGTAAGGTAGTGCAATAAATGATGGGTGACGAAGTGAAATGTATGTGTAGACATGGACAGTGGCAGTGAATGCATCTAAATTATCCACCAGGAGATTTCATATTTAAAAGAAATCAGCTAAATTAATGTGACAAAGTATATCAGAACATAAGATGAAAATCCTGGATGAAGCACACTCTACCTCTTCTGATGCAGGAAATAAAACAGAGCTGCCCCCAGTGCCCCAGAGATGCCTGAGTGCTGTGGGTGGGAGCAGGCTGGGAAATGATACCCAAGTCCTCTTCAGTGCTACGTGTTGCTCATCAGATGGGGGTGCCTGTGCTGTGCTAAGTTCTGAGTACACATTGAGAAAAGAGAAAAAATATTTGTAGTTTGGCCAATTAAGTCATACTACAGGCCAAATTGGAATTGGAACTTGAGGATGGATAGGATTATAACGGGGAGAATAGACCAAGGAAAGGTCCTCCTGAGTGAAGACTAGCACTCCAGAGGACAGAAGCAGAGTGGAACAGAACTTGTTTAGGTAATTATAGGGGTCTAATTTCACTAAGATTTTACAAGAGGACTGCTATAAAAGCAAATTGGAGGGGGAAATATAGAGTCAGATGTTACAAAGCCTCGAATGGAAGTTATGTTTTGCTTTGCTTTTGTGGTAGGCAATGAGGATTACTGAAGGTTTTTAACAGGGGAGTGATGTGATTAAAATACAGCTTTTAGAACATTATTTTCCCCCACAATTTTTCTTGAAACATTTTCAGGCAAAGCGATACAATAAAATATTAAAGAATAAAATTCAAAATAAAAGAAAGGAGAAATGAGAGAAGAAAAGATAAAGTCAGAACGATGCTAGTTAGTACCATAGAAGAGCTAGCTTGGAAGTTGTGGGCAGGTAGGCTGGGAAAGAAAGACACAGAAGACAATTGGGAGACGACGGGGATGAGCTAGTCTTGATGAACAAGGGCATCAATCAGGGCAGAGGTAGTAGTAAGAGAAAAGAAAGGATGAATTAAGCAGACACTCTGAACAAGGAATTGACTGAATTTAATGACTAAAAGGCAAAAAAGATGAGGGCTACTGTGGATCTCACCGCTTCTGTTCATCCGCAGTCAGCTCCAATCATCTTGGGTGTTTGCAGTTTTTAGTGGCATGCCTTTAGGTCTTTTAGTTGAATTGCCTCATTATTTTTACTTTTTGCTTAGTACTTAAAGTTAAAATTTTCTTGGCTAAATTCAGACCCTTGAATTTCCCCTCTTCCCTATTCTGCCTGCACTTTGTTATCTCATTTCCTGTTGATTATCTATTTGGAAAAAGAGGCTACAGGGCAGCCCTCGATATTGAAGATTCAAATTTTCAAAATGGAACCCCAAGTTTCTCATTCCCATGCCCACAACAGATTGGGTTTTAAATCAATTCGTAAGTCTGGGGCCCAGCCTATTCCCTGTGACTGAGAGACCAAGCAACAATAAACATGATTGCCCATCTAGCCAAAGCTAAGCATTTTCTTGAGAAATAGCAGGGCTCAGTAAAGATCCAGAGAACCAGCCTTCTTGGAAAAACAGGTGACACTTTCTTAAGCAAGAAGGTGTGGGATTTCTATGAGGAGATTTGAAGAAGGAAGTATATGTGGGACCTGCGTCTCAAGCCTAGGCAGTACAGGGCCAGGTCAGGAATTTAGAGAGCTGCTTTCAGGACTGACCCTCATGGGGCTCAAGGAAAGTCCAACTTATCCATAATTTAATGTTTGTCTTCCTTACGTTCTGTTCTGAAAGTTCTTCCCTGTAAACTTCTCCACACTTAATTTCCTTATGAAACTGTTGTAACACTACAATTTTAGTAATGTAAAGAAACCAATAGTTAAGCAAATTTTCTCACTATTTATGTAATAATTTCCAGTATTAAACTTTTAGTCCTTCTGTGACACACAGAACATTGTGGTAATAAGAAATAATAAGATAAGCCTTCCTTACAATGCTTAGCAAAAGATTATTTAAGCAATCAATGAGTTATGCATGATGTGGAATCTGAGTTAAGGAAATAAATCTGTGACCTAAAAGATACACACCACACACACACACACACACACACACACACACACACACACACACAGCATCATACCTTTGACAGGTGAAGATGGACTTGGATGTGGTGCCGGGCTCTCTGACTACGACTTGTTCACAGTACCAGTACTGTGATTTGTCACTGGCCTCACAGCGCAACAGCACCTTCTGCAGTTTTCCAAGCGACACTGCTGCTACTTGAAATTTATCAATCTGGTGTGGGAGACAGAGAAAAAAAAACTCACAGAAATAACTAGAGTCCGAGGCATGGCAAATGCAGGCAATAGTAATAGCCCAATGACTGCCAGAAGCAGCACAATACTTTAAAAGAGATAATGTTACTATAGTTAGCATCAAAAGGGGCAATATGGTAAGAAAAATAAGCAAATTACTTTTTATCTATCAAGAATATATTTCTGGCTGTTTTTTTTTTGCTTTCACAGTTTTATTTTCTCCATTTGTAGTAGCATCCAGAGTAATAAACAAAGAAATCCCAACACAAAGACTTTTCTCATGTTAGACCCCTACTCGAGAAGCAGTTCATTAGGGCATCAGGTTGACAACCATGCAGCTAATGTACAGCACATTTCCTTTCTATGAGCACTGATATGCTGTGAGACATGTGGGACAAATTTTCTTTCCTTCCTTCCTTCCTCCCCTCCCTCCCTCCCTCCCACCTTCAATACATCCTTTCCCTGCACCTTCCTCTGTAGATGAAAATAGAGCACATTCTTGGGTTTGTTGTAAAAGAGCAGCCTGGACTCCTAAATAGAATTAGTTTGTTATCTCAAAAATACACTGACATTTCCAGAGAGATTCAGGACCTGAAGTCAGTGCTATACTGATTAAAATAAAAAGAACTCCTTCACACATTACTTCCTCGTCGATGGTTGTTGAGAATAACTGTCCTAAAGTTATCTGAGGAAAGGATCATGAATTTAAGTAAGTCTGAAAAATTACCAGAAATGATAGTTGACTGTTAGCTACTGGCACTCTATGGTAAAAAATGTGACTCTAGTATCACTTGTATTGCCTATGTGGGGAGCTGTCTTAACAGCTCCCTGCATTGTTACCAGGTTGAATTTTCGATTTGATATTTGAAGACACACTACCTGGGTCTCAACTATTGGCTCCATGTTGTTGATGGAAACCTCCTGTAGAGTCCAGACCAAAACCATTACTAGTTCAGTAATGACGGTTCTGTAAACTAGGTGATGAGTATTTGTGCATCTTCTCATGTGTGCATGGATCATCTCATTGTCACTATCCTGCATTCTCAGCATGGCTTTACAAGGGACGTTCACGAGGCGCATCACCTATTGTAGCAAATGCAAGTGATGCCCCATCCCATGTCCTCTAGATCCATTTCTAGGTGCATCTGCTGCTTTAATAAACAGTTTAGGTGTGCTCATAACTTTCTATCTCAATCCCCTGTCTCCTGCTTCTGTGTCTGAGGGTTTCCCCTGGTGGGACAAATCTGAGCGATGTTTCACAGAGTTTCTCTGAAGCTCTCAGCAAGAAGAGAGAGCCATAATAGTAACCAGCTCACAAATGTCCCTATATTGCTTTTCTCCTTTCCTGTCTCACTGTTCCCACTCCTTCACTTCTCAAGTGCTTACTGGGATTATCTCCCAGATAAATTACCTTCACTGAAGCCTTTGTCTCTCAGTCAGCTTTGGGACAAACCCAAACTACAGTACCTTGAGGTCTGGAAAGATAGGCTGAGTCAGCTTTCTGGTCTCTTCTTGTATCTTAAAGTAACTTTAGGTTTGAAGACGGAATTAAATTGGGTCTGTTACATATATTGCTACGTTTTATTATCCTGCTAGGACACCTTGTAGAGAAAATGACAACTAGCCCAGTGAGTGGTTTATGACGTGAGATGTGGCTGGTGTGCACGAAGTCTGATAATAAAACTCTCAGACTCTTACCACAGTTTCTTGACTACAAAACTCTTGAAATTATTTGGCATTTCCATTACATCCCAAGCACTGAGGAAAATAACAGAAAATGTAAAATCTAAAATGAACCAGGGAAGAAAAACACTTTTACATCTCTGATTCTAAACTTAAAAACGGATACCACTAAGCCCTCACCGTACTCTTCTTCATAAACTGATGGCAACTATATCTCCCACCCAATTTTAATTTCAGTCCATAACACACCCTCCCTACTGTCTGGAAAATGCTAAACACAATGATGAACTGAGGAAGATCAATCATGAAGATGACTTGCAAAATCTCAGCAGGTAACGTCCCATGATACAGCACTGCTGCAAAATGATATATGCTGGTGTCCAACGAGCAGGCAGCCAGGGGACATGGAGCCTCTGCCATTTATCCTCAAGTGGTAGGGTGAAAGAGTCTGGGACTGATGTAAAGCCAGCAGGGTTCTGCAGGAGATCACTTCACTGATTACTTAGCATAATATTAATAATAATACCATGGTATCTAAAATTTTGTTTCTGCTTAAAATTAATAATTCATTCCTGATAGCAAAAGTTAGGCCTAATTTTGCTTTTGACTCACTCAAAGCAGAACTAGCTTTCCTATTCATTCTGATGAAAGCTTTTGTGTAATCAACAGTGACAAATGTATAGGTGAGCTTTAAGATATCCAATGTTTCAAAATATTTCACAAACTACAACAGTCTGAGAAACAGTACTCTAACTGGTTTAAGGAGTCTTCTTTCTTAAAAATATGCCTTTAGATTACATAATCCCCAAACTTAATTTCAGACCCTCAAATAGTACCTTCTCTCCATATACAACAAAATAACATTAACAATATCCTACTGCAACTTCTCAAAGATCTAATATATAGAAAGACTTATGCTTGTCCATAAGGACAAAAGGAAATAAGGAGGGGCTTAGGTGTGAAAATAACACAGTTGGCCCCATTCAAGATGTTATGTAGATTAAAGGTCATTGTGTTATTATATGAAATATAGTATAATGGCATTTATATGGCCTTATCTTTTAAAATAATGCCTTGTATCTTTCAAGCCTGAGAGAGCACATTCAAAAATGTTTTCCTTGTCTTTTCAGTTCATTTTTTTCTTTCTCTCACACAATCACTAAACTTAATATATTTTCTTTGTTCTATTATTTATTGTTGGTTTAGTATGTCCCATTTTTCTTGTAAGAACAACTTCCAAAACAAAGCACACTAGAAAGTCAGGTCAGGAAAACGTGTTAAAGATGTCTTAAAACTAAAATTTGAAGAGTGCCAAACACCTTTTAAATTTTAAATCATAGATGGCCATCTTCAGAGAGATTGTTAAGAATCTGGGAAATTATTTGTATAGACTCACCTGTCCTCTTTGAAATTTTACTTGCATGTTAGATTTGTACAGCAGTCTGAGGCCAGAGTCTCCCCTCTCCCCAAAGAGACAGAGGAAAACCTCAGACTCCGTTTCTGCATGCTTCAGCTTCCCAGTGTAGACGTCAACCTGATATCTCACTACTGGCAAAGCAACAGGGAGAGAAAACAAGAGGAAATACATTACCTTGAAATCCATATAAACAGAACCCAGATCCATAGGTTTTCAGGCTATAGTGAAAAAAGAAAAACATATATAAGAATTCCTCTAATCTGGATTTTCTGTGTCTATTGAGAGGCTTTTGAGCTTCAATTATTTTTAATCATACATGGGCATTTTTATACCATGAACAAAAGGCCAGAAGGTTTATTGCTTTTTCAGAAAGAGAAATAAAAGATTTTTTAAAAGGTTGTTCTTCTATATATGATATAAGAGGACATTTTATGCTTAGTATTTTAGTGGTAAGGGTGACTGTTATTGTACATTATATTTAAAGTTTAAAATGACGTAAGGTTTGATGAGGAAAGAAATCAAGCAAGGAGGTAAGCTGGCCCCAGGCAAAGCTAAGGTGAGTTGCAGTCACGGCATTTCTTGTCTCTCGTAGCCTCAGCCTTTGTGACTGTGGCTGGGCCACAAGAACAATTTTGAGATTACATTTAATCTAAGATCCACCAGCAACTCATGCTGTGACATTAAAAACGTCACTTCTCAGGAGTAAAACAACTCTCCTAGAAGCAGGAAAAATATTCTGTAACTAAATAGCTTAGAAGCAAATTTAAGTAACTACCAAACAATTTGTCTATGGAATAGATGCTACTGAAGATTAATAACACACATGGAAAAATAGCTTGTCCTCCTTTTACTACAGGAAGCTCACAGACAACATCCCCATCTGCCTGAATCCGAGAGAGCCGCACGTTTGCTGCAAAATCTAGGATCTTCTTGCTTTTCGTATGTTGCATGGTCACCTGGAATTAGAAGAAAAAATGACCAAATTGTGTCATCTCCAATTTCTCAAAGAACTTGGAATTCAAAATGCATCCCAGGGATTTCAAAAATGTACTGCATACTCTGATGATGGTGATAGTGGTGATGGTTCTTAGTAGTATTAGCAATAGTAGTAGTAGTAGTAGTAGTAGTAGTAGCAGGTTGGTGCAAAAGTAATTGCCATTTTGCCATTACTGTTAATGACAAACCCACAATTACTTTTGCACCAACTTACTAGCAGCAGTAGTAGTAGTAGCAGTAGTAGCAGTACCATCAGCTGTTTATTAGGCAATTTTTATTTGCCATGTATTATGCTAAGGGCTTTATTTTAATTATCTTTTAACCTTAACCAACCAGACTTGTAAAATTCTTTCAATCTAATAGATAAGAAAATGGAGGCATGAAGATTTGAAATGGACTCTAGCAGATTCAAAGCTCTCAATTTCACCTGTCATAGTGATTTGAAAAAAAGCAATCTCAGAGAACTCGAAAGGAGGTCTTGTGTTCATATCAGTCACCAAAGCAAGACATACATCACAACTTGAAAAAAAAAAGTGAATGCCTTTTGCTAGGTGCTGTGGCTCACGCCTGTAATCCCAGCACTTTGGGAGGCTGAGGCGGGTGGATCACGAGGTCAGGAGATCGAGACCATCCTGGCTAACACGGTGAAACCCCGTCTCTACTAAATACACAAAAAAATTAGCTGGGCGTGGTGGCAGGCGCCTGTAGAACCAGCTACTCGGGAAGCTGAGGCAGGAGAATGGCGTGAACCCGCCTCCCAGGGCGAGATCACGCCACTGCACTCCAGCCTGGGCGACAGAGTGAGACTCCGTCTCAAAAAAAAAAAAAGTGAATGCCTTTTAAGTGTATTTATAACATCTGTAGTCTCTAAATAAACTCCCAGTTGCCACAGACCAAATGCCTGCACCTTCCAGCATGCAGGCAGCTGCCTTTCCCCGCAGCCCAGTGACTCCTCCATAGACCCCTCGTCAGCCCCTTTGGTGGCTGTTCCACACAAAGGCCCCTTCCCTTTATCTTCCCCTTCACATGCCAGCAGACTAGCAGAGGACTTCCAGGCATAAGCCCACAGTTGTTTGCCTTGCCTCCTATCACGATAGATAAAAATGTCCTTATACTTTTAAGATTCCAGCTAATCTTCTAAATAAGTCCCCATCCCTCCTCAATTTTCTCTGCTTCCTGGTCTTCGGAGCAGGTGCCACCATTTCTCAGATGGCTTATTCTTCAAGCTTGCTGCCATAACCCATTGTCTGCTGTTCTTGCTCTCTTCCAATCCTGCCTTTAGCCTGTTTCAAGAGAGACTATTTTAAAACAGAAATATGATCATTTTGCACACTGCACACAACTTTTTTTAAACAGTCCTTCCTATAGTATAAAATCCCAAATCCTCAATACAATGAGCACTTCATGGTTGGGTCATAATCTTGCTAGATACTTCTCCCTCACGTGCTATGTTCTAGTTGTACTGATCTGTTCATGGTTCCTCAACCTGGCTACATTCCCTCTCATGTCAGTTTTCACATACACTCATAGCTCTGCTTAGAACAGTTTTCATCCCGACTCATTACCATGATGACTCTGCCCATCCTTCATAGCTTACACGTAACCTCTTCTAAGGAGTTTTTTGTGAGCCCCCAGTTTGGTTCAGCAACCCTACTTTGTGATCTGCGACAGCCTCCCCATTCATGATTTAAGAGCTAATATTTGACTGACTTGAGGGAAGAAACCATGTCCTATCCATCTTGATACTGCCACAAGCTTTCACAAGGCAGTCCTTGGGTCGTTTGTTGAATGAATGATCAAATGAATAACTACGTGAAATGTGTATTTGTCAACACAGGTTACAGACTAACTCAGCACACCTGATTATTAATGAGTGACGACTGTATCTTTACTTGCTCCAGGCAAGAGGTCTTGAAAAGAACACTGGACAGCTAGAAAAACTGTGACCAAAGTCTAGCTCTGGCATTTCCAACTGACCGTGAGAAATCATGTAACCACTTTGAATATCAGTTTTCTCATCTTTAAAATAGAAATAATGACTATCTCATACGGTTACTGTGGATATTAAATGAGATTATATGTAATGTATAAAATTTTATATAAACTATATAAATACTTCGTGTTAACATTAGTGAAATGTATATATGTATACATACATTAATATTAAAAAGGTTAATATAATATATTCTGCTGAAATTGGAAATGTTCTCTTTGGATTATATCATTCTTTATTTAGACAGGGGCCAGTGTCTGTGTGGAATTTGCACATTCTCCCTAAGTCTGTATGGGTTTTCTCCAGGTCCTCCAGTTTCCTCCAACATCCAGAAGTTCTGCATGTTAGAGGAACTGGTGTGTCTACATAGTCCCAGTGTGAGAGTGTGGGGGGTGTGCAAGTGTGTGGGTATGAGTGTGCCCTGCAATGGGATGATGGCATGGCGTCCTGGCCAGGTCAGTTCCCGCCTTGCACCCTGAGCTGCCAGGACAGGCTCTGCCCACCCACAACTCTGTTTTTTTTTTTTTTTTTTTTTTTTTTTGAGACGGAGTCTGGCTCTGTTGCCCAGGCTGGAGTGCAGTGGCCGGATCTCAGCTCACTGCAAGCTCCGCCTCCCGGGTTCACGCCATTCTCCTGCCTCAGCCTCCCGAGTAGCTGGGAGTACAGGCGCCCGCCACCTCGCCTGGCTAATTTTTTTTGTATTTTAGTAGAGACGGGGTTTCACCGTGTTAGCCAGGATGGTCTCGATCTCCTGAACTCGTGATCTGCCCGTCTCGGCCTCCCAAAGTGCTGGGATTACAGGCTTGAGCCACCGCGCCCGGCCAACAACTCTGAACTGGAATAAGCAGGTCGAAAAATGAACGAATGAATACAAATGATTGTCAAATAAAAATTTGTAACGTCTATAATAATCATACAAATGTACAACAATAAACAATTAGGGGACGAAAGCACTCAGTGAGTTGTCATGTTTGTGATGGTTTTTGAACTGCATGGTGGGAGGAGGTGGTCCTGACAATTTCCCTTCACAAACATTTATTCCTTGATTTAACTCACCAAAACTACGACTGCTATCACTCACTAATTCACCAAATATAGGGTAAAACTTTCTTACTTGTTTTCATTAATCTTTATTAAATTTATGTATAGCTCACATTTATTTCAATGGTTAATATGTGAAGTGTTTTGGACTTTATAAGATTGGTGATGTTTTTGGGACCAGAAATATGCACTAGAAATTTAACTCTTGTTTGTATCGGTTAGCCTGTGGTAAATTAGTTTCGTTATGCCAAGTTTTGTTTGAAGTCACAGTTTCCAAGAACCTAAGAAAATGTTAAGCGATTACAAGGTCATACTACCTAAAACTTCAACAGGTTCTTCCTCTACATTAGCCTCTCCATGTAAACTGGCAAGAAGCCTCTGGTTTCTAAGGCCCCATCATCCCTTCATCCTTAGAAGAGCCCACTGATAAGAAAGCCTCACTGATCTGACTTAAGTGCAATCCCACCAACACCACTGAAAAGCCTCCATGGCGAGGGCTCTAAATGAGTTCCATTTACCTTCAAAGTCATGATGGCTCAAAACAGAAAAATAAAGAATCTAGGTAATCTCCAGTTACGTTTGTTTTTATTTTCACAAAAATTTTTTTCAATTGTTAAATTAGTAAGAAGGCAAAATTCCAGGACGACCACAATGTTTAAGCCCAGTTACATGATAGCTAATGGCAGGACTCAGTAAAATGCATGTGGCAAGTGAAACAAACCTGGATTTGAATTAAAAGACCTTGGTTTATGTATTGGCACTGCTACTTACCAGGTGTATGGCCTTAACCATTAACCGCTGAAATAAATGTGAGCTATGCATACATTAAGAAAGATTAATGAAAACAAGTATGAAAGTTTATTTTACCTCATTTTTTGGTGGATCAGTGAGCAATAGCAGTCTTGATGGTGAGTTAAATCAAAGATTAAATGTTTGCAAAGTATAAATTGTCAGAAGCACTTCCTCCCACCATGCAGTTCAAAAACAAACCAGCACAAACATGGCAGCTCACCAAGCACTTTTATAAAAGTTCCACAAGAGGACCTGTCATCTTCAGGCCCTCATTTGCAAAACTGCCATCGCATCTCAACAAGCTGAAAAGTGCCTTATGTAATAAAATGAGATTAAAACACCTTTTAGAAAACGGTTTGTAAACTATAAATGATTACACATAGGAAGTTATTTCCCAAAGCAGAACTTTCTCAAGAATGGGTGGCGGTGTGTCGGGAGTGGGTTCCTTCTGGTGGTTTCGTGGTCTCGCTGACTTCAAGAATGGAGCCGCACACCTTCACGGTGAGTGTTACAGCTCTTGAATATGGCACAGACCCAAAGAATGATCAGCAGCAAGATTTACTGTGAAGAGCAAAAGAACAATGTTTCCACAGCATGGAAGGGGACCCAAGAGAGTTGTCACTGCTGGCAGGAGTGGCCAGCTTTTATTCCCTTATTTGTCCCCTCCCATGTTCCATTGTGTCCTATCAGAATGCCCTTTTTTAATCTTCCCTGTGATTGGCTATTTTTAGACTCCTGCTGATTGGTGCACTTTACTGATTGGTGAGTTTTACAGGGTGCCAATTGGTGCATTTTACAATCCTCTTGCTAGCTACAGAGTGCTGATTGGTACGTTTTTATAGAGCACTAATTGGTGCATTTTACAATCCCCTTGCTAGCTACAGAGCACTGATTGTTGCGTTTTACAATCCTATCCACATAGTGCTGATTGGGGCGTTTTACAATCCTCTTGTAAGACAGAAAAGTTCTCCAAGTCCGCACTTGACCCAGGAAGTCCAGCTGGCTTCACCTCTCAGTGAGACCTAAGAACATTGTAAAAGAGCTTGATTTCAGAACATCTAATCTTCCAAGTTAACAGTAAGAGGTTGGTTTTTGTGCCTAGAAGTAAGACCACTTCTTTCCAGATCCACATGC